CTCTCCTATGAAAGAAGGTCTAATTGGGATTGTTCAGCCTGGAAAAGAGAAGGCTTTGGGGTGACCTTATTGTGGCCTTCCAACATCTGAAGGGAGCCTACATGGAAGACGGAGAGGACTTTTTACAAAGGCATGTAGTGACAGAACAACAGGGAATGGCTTAAACTGAAGGAGAGTAGGTTTCAATCAGATATGAGGAAAAAATTCTTTACTATGAGGGTGGTGAGGTACTGGAACAGGTTGCCCAGAAAAGTTGTGGGTGCCCCATACCTGAAAGTGTTTAAGGCCAGGCTGGATGGGGCTTTGAGCAACCTGGTCTAGTGGAACGTGTCCCTGCCTATGGCAGGTGTCTTCGAACTATATGATCTTAAGGGTCCCTTCCAATCCAGGCCATTCTATGATATTTTAACAGTGCTTTTAATAGTGCTCTCACAAATTACAGTAATTATAAATTATGTATTGATTCATATTCACTGACCTCAAGACAAAACAGCTAGGGGATTTTCATCCAGTCTTTCTGTAACATATGCAGTCATGTCCTAAGGTAGATTCTTCAGCTGTTCATTTTCTATGGGGAATGAAAAGCTGTCTGAGGAATCCAAGTTCTTACCAAACCTATTCACAGCTCTCCACCACTAAATGTCTCTTTCTCAAGTCTGCGCATCGTGAAGGTTTAAGGGTGTAGATGACAAACTAAGCTCAGGGGTTAATAAAACATTTTTCCTCTTACTTAGGTAGCTCAAAAAGGAGACTTTGCCCATACAAGATTCAAACCATCCAAAGGGATATCTCCTCTATTGATGAATAAGGAAGCTAGGGCAATCAGTTTGCTAAGTTAGACATGTCAGTTGAGTACCTAAAGTTAAACGAATCGAAGCAAAGCATCTTTGGGTCAGGCACTTTATGTCCAACCCTTGAGACATCCAAGTTCCTTTACATTGTCCACAGCAGTTATGCTAATTGCATGGATATTTAAATACAGTACTCAGAATAAAATGAGTTGTAAAACAAGTTTTCAGAGAAACAGCAAACACATCCCACTAACACAATGATATTGCAATGCTGTTAAGAGGAGGCAAACCAAGGCCCAGAAACCCAAAAATCTTCATACAAATGGCTCATTTATGTACCACACATGAAGCTTTTGTAGCCTTTCATAATTGGAGCCTTATAAAGTTCCCCAGTTCCAGTACATAAAGAATTCTGGAAAAGAGATTTTGTGGCCCTTTAATAAAAACTCTGGAAGGGAAACTGGAAGATTATGAACGTATTGGATAACCTTGCCAGCTCAGACAAAAAGACTGCTTTGCTCAGTATTCTCTCCAACAGCAGCCACAAACAGATGTTCAGGAAAGAATAAGACCAGGGAAGTACAAATAGCACTCACTTGAGTATTTCCTAGCTTCTGTTTTCAAGCCATGGGATTTTCTCCCATGGAGCACCTTTCCAAGTACTTGTCCATGTCTCTCTGGACTTTTATAATCTTTTTGCACCTACCATCTCTTTTGATAAGGAGTTGCACAAATCTACCACCTGCTCCACTAACAGTGATCTTTTTGTGTTCTTTGTACCTGCCACCTGCTAACGACACTGGGTGACCCTCCAGTCTTGACTGGAAAAGGCTGTCAGCCCTCACACTTCAAATCATTCACAACTGAAGAGTCACAACTGTCCACATGTAAAGAGTGCTTGATTACCTTATCATTCCCCCTCGTGTGAGTTTTACTCTGACCTTTGAAGACTCCATTTTGATGTGGGTTTTTGGCTTGGTTTTCTTTTTTCCTTTTAAATTTTTAAGCTGTGTGCACTTCAAAAGAGCAACTGGTCAGGACTCCAGAGGGAAAAATTCCAGCCTTGAAGATCCTCATAAGAAAAAGCTCTATGCATACAAAGCATTTTTTGTGTATTGCAAACTGGATTAAAAATAATTATGTGATATAAATACAGAAATATTTTATATTCACCAACCATAGGAACACAATTAAAAATCCTTCTGCATATCTTTTTAGATTAAATAAAACCCAATACTTTATCTACCCATCATTTTAACTAGTGTTTATAATGATATTATAGTCTTGGGAAAATCTAGGTTTTTTAAAAGATCTGACACATTTTTTAGACATTAAATTCATATAAAAATTATCGGTTTGAAACCCTACACAAGCACCTTCCAGTTCAGAGTATGATGTGGGGGGAAAAAAGCACAGACCTACAAGCTAAGTAGATCTTTTAACTGTGGAAATTGGTGATTCAATTCCCAATTCACATTCATTAGCAGACTTCACATCAATTGGTAAACACATCTATTGTTCCAGGACATTCAGAAGCCAGTACAGGCCATATAAGATCTAAAAAATCTTGGCCACAGCCATCTGACTGCATGTAAGCACAGTATGAAAGTCTAGTCAAAAACAGTCAGGAGTCAAGAGTGTCAGGAGAAAGCGGTTCTTGTAGAGAACACTAGCCAATTTATTACAAAATCAGATGAGGAGCACTAGTTTCAAGTGCCAAGGATCCTTGGAAATGGACCTCAATGAATAAGAAGGGAACAAATTAACATAGACCTCTCTGATATAGCAATACATCTGAGGAGCCTGAATGTCCTCAGATACTCCTACCGCAGAGTTCAAATGGACCACATAGATGACCAAGTGCTTTGCCAAGGCTTGTAGGTCCCTTTTCCAGGGAGGATCACCTGTGGCTGCAACTCTAACACTCACATCCCGCAGCATTACACCACTGACGCTAACAGTGTGACGCTCGGTAGTTAATACAGCACCTGCATAGTAAACTGGCCAGTATTTCAACAACAGAATTATTTTGTAAACATAAATTGTGCTTTCAAACAAAATTATTATATTTGCTTAAGTTCAGTTTCGCTAGAGCTGAACAATAGATGAAACAATTTTTTTAAAACATCTATGTTTGAAATGGAATATTTTCTACAAAACTGGTGCTGACATTAAAAAGCTTTCTGAAGTACATTCTTCATTTTTCACTCCCACTTTCACATTTGGAAGTGAAATGAAAAACTCCTAAAATGTCCCACAAAAACATTATCACTTTTCTTAAAACCTTAATAAAGTATTCAATCCTTTGCAGAAGTGACAGCAGTGAATCAGGTGAGTGTCCTAAGCCCCTAAGCCTGACGAGCCCAGGTGCATTTTCAGTATCAACATATCTTCCTATGCACATGGTTTTTCCACTGCTGTCGCTAATGTTGTTTTGACTTTTCATTTAGAAAATTCTTTAATAGTGCTGCAAAATCCCTATCATAATAGACTACAGTGTCGCCATTTTTAGTCCTTCTATTCACCCATCAGACTATTTTTTCTACCCTTCCATTTTCCCGTTTAAAAAAAATAAAAATTCAGTACTCTTTCAGGTTAAAGACAACAGCACATGCTTAAATATAACAATCAGTGATTGGACGAACTGGGAACAAATATACCTGTATTCATATGCAAAAAAAATTTCAAAAATATTTACATCACTGAGAGAGTTTTGAAACCTTTCTTCCTATATTTACAATAAATAAATTTAACCTTATTGTCGTACACAAAACTTTTGAAATTATTCTCTATAGTATCACTACAGAATAGCTAAAGTTTTCAAGCAGTATTTCCTATTAACAATTTCACTACAAATACTTCATGAAAAAATACAATTTTACTTGTGACTGTGCCTTCTGTTTTTTTCCAAAAAGATCTAAACTGGAACACACTCATTTCCAATCAAATATTTTTAAAAGATAATGTCACAGTATAATGACAATGAATACAGCATGCTGAGTTTAAAGACCATATGTTGTAATTTTGAAAGATACTCTGAAGCAGATATAGTCACTACTGTCTGCTGCTAGCTGGCATCCTCAATAAACTACCTGATTTTCTGATGTTTTGATGGAACTAGATGATCTTTAAGGTCCCTTTCAACCCATTCTGTTTCATCTTTTATATTCATCTTTTATATTATAATCAAGTTCTTGATTATTTTTCCCTGCTAAACTTTTGGCCCCTGTAAGCCTATAACTTCCTTTACAAATCATCATTACATACCTGAAGTCATGTATGAAAGCATACACAGAAAGTTTGTGCATGCAATACCCTCATCTAACAACATCAATTACTTTATCCATCTCCTACACCATTAGCTGAAAGTCTAATAAAAGCTACTCAGCAGGCAAGAGATTTAATGAAATAAACCCCAAGTTCCTGGGAGGAACCTGTGGTTCCAACTCTAACACTTCTGATCAAATAGAAGCTCTCTTTCTGCTGCTGAGCAATAGATTTTTCTGGATCTTGATCAAACATACTCCAAAGGAGGGAGGGTGTAATAATATGGTGTAAGGTATTTAAGTGTGTAGGAGAAAAACTGATTGTGGGAAAAGGGAAGATGAGAAGAAATTATTTTTAAAATGTAATAGAAATTTCTGGGGTCACAGCAAAACAAGTTCACAGCAATTCTTTCAATAATCAACAAGACAATTAAGCTTGTCTACTAATCATCATTAATAAACCACAAAAGCCATAAAAAACCCAACAAAAAACCCCAGTCTTGCACTGTTACAGGTTCCCAGTCTCCACAAATATTTTCACTTCTGTTCCCCATCTAAGGCTGAGGCACCAAGATACAAATATTGCAGAACAAATATCTCCTAGTGGCTATCTAATGGAAGTAAGGACCAAAATAGACACTATCAAAAAAAACCCAAACAAAAATCCCCACCAACCCACATAACAGTGAAAGGTCTCAAGTTCTCTACCCCTTGTCTAGAAACATAAGTACTGTCTGCTTCATGATCTTTTCAGTTCCAGGATGGAGAAGGAAAAATTTGGCTTCCATTCCTCTGCAAGGAAAAATTCCTTATTGATTCTTCTAAATTAACCCAAATATTTCTTACCTTGAAATGTAATACATTACAGTCTTAAAATTGCTTTAAAATAGCTGACTTAATCTCTCATTTCTGGACAAACTTCACATTCTGAAGAAAATCTTACCTAATTTTGGCAGGGAATAGGGCACTTTAAAATAATCTTCATAAAACTCAATGAGACTCCTTGTAATATTTAGAGCATAGTCCCCCGATCCTCTTCTGATTGCATCAGGCCTTGCATATAACCGTACCTGTTAAAAAACAAAGCAAAAGACCAATCATTTCAGCATCTGCCTTTTAAATCTATCATATCTGCAGAAATGAATTATCCTAAGGTTGCTGTGACGTGGCGGGATTATTACCTTAAAGCCAAATATGACTGTCATACATTCTCAAAACATGTCATAGCTGAAAACCAGGACTACCACAATTAAAGTTACAAAGTTTAGAAGTCACAACCTCCTAATTGCTTGTGTTGCCAAATAAAAAACTTAACACTCCTTGCATCAAAATAAATATTTGAAGAAAACATGTGTTTGCTAGAGATATGATGGGAGAGTGGATTAGTATCATGGTTCTCTGCCTACACTGAATGTAGGCAGAATGCAGTGACTCAGTAGGAGACAAGTTCATGGTTTGTTAAAGGCACATTATATCAAGCCCTGAAAATATTAGTAGACTGTGAAGAAAAGAAAATAATCATTCTCTTTTCTCTGGCAGTGACACAGTTACCCTCGATGAGCTTTGGGAAGACTGCAAAAACAACCATTTATAAGCTCATTCATGTACACAAACAATTAACATTCCTGAAACCTCCTTGACTGCTTCAGGCCTCTGTTTTCAGAAAGCAGTAAATCAAAGCTGTTTATACACGCTACAGACTGCTCTGTTCAGTATAAAACAGCTCACATATTTGACTACCTGGAGTGAACCAACTGAAAAGAACTCACCTTCATAATTCTGCATTCAAGTCTGACCCTGATTAAGAAGGTAGCAGAAAGCACTTCTTGGTTTTTCCCTCTTCCCTGTCCTTACAGACCTTAATGCTTCCTTAGTGCAAACACAACATACAGCCAAGAACTGTTAACCAAGAAAGGGACAGAAAGGAGAGCCACTTTTCACTCTCCCTCCTCATTCACCTTATGAAAGTAGTGTGTGCTTTGTCTCTAATAACTGGCAGAAGGTCTCTCCCTGCAGTACATAACGACTTGACACAAATGAGACTCTACTAAATGTCAGTCCTAACACTTTCTGTGGTAGGATTAAATCCCAGCCAGGGTTCTGAGGAAAGCAGTAGGGCAGAAATCAGAAAATAGCAATGCAAACATGAGGGAGAAATGTCAGCTTTGGAATGTTTCTAAACACTATTATGGACCAAGAAAAGCCAATGCAACTTTTTGCTTCAGTGAAAGCATTATCAAGTATTGCTTTACTACTGAAAGTAACCAGTTCAGTTATCCAAGTGGAAACCACATATCAAATACTGTACCTATCAATTCTGTTGTAACCCGCTATCTCTTTGTTTTCAGTATGCAGACACATTATTTGCTTCATTACAGTGCCCATCTTTAATCTTTGTGTTGTATTAGACTCAGTGCACCATCAACCATACATAGTTATCACTTGTAATGTAAAACAGGTAATGATGTAACCTAATGAGATATGTAATAAAGCAGACTTCCTATAATCACCACCTGAAAGAATATAAACCATTATCTGAATCCCTCCAAGTCACTATTTTTGTTCATTGTTTCCTTTCAAAGTTAACAGTAGCATGTACATTAAATGTTCCCTTATCTGCTAGATAAAATATATTTTTTAACAAAACAGATATTAACCACAGAGATGCTAATCCAAATGTCTCAAAACCTTTAGTTTGTTGAAGGATGTTAAGAATCACAATTAGATTTGTGATGAACACTGTTTTGTATCATTAAACCTTTATAGACAATTTTACATAATTGCTTTACTGGCACAGCTGACTGTACCAGTAAACTAGGAAAAAAAAGAGTCAGCCAACCAAGTATGCAAAAAATCATTCAATTTGACAGTGGTCAAATGCGTCCATAATAATAAATATGACAACTGAAGAGAAGAAAATAATAGGTAGATACAAGAAAAATCAAGGTTCAATTTATTGCATTACAATGTGTGTCTTTTGGCAAATGCAGAAAAGGTATTTAATAGTGTCTGAGATAGAGCCAAGGTACCAAAGCTCAAAAACCACAATGCTGCAAACTTTCATTTGTCTCCTGCCTAACACTAAATACAGTTTTATTTTGCCCATAAAGTTTCCCTCTGTCTCTCTGCCTGCCCAGAACAGCTCTGGACTGCCAGGGCCCCATGGCTCACACCAAGGTCACCCCCAAGCTGGAATACACTTCAGAAATTACCTGTGCCTTTGTCCAGGTCTCTCAGGGCTTTTGAGGCAACAGGTATTGCCAAAGCAGTCAGATATCTTCAAACGTTGGGTCTGCTTCTGCTTTTCACCCAACAACCACTGAACATGAAAGATATGGAGGAACCTTAGACACACCATCACAGGCCTATCCCTGGCCTCAGAAAATTCCCTGTTGGTTAGCAGAGGGCAGGGACAGAGGGCTACCACAGGGGACAATCTGGACACTCTGCCTGCCCAGTTAGCTGTTTTGGATGACACTTTCTGAGGTATCATTCACAACACAAGGAGCTTGGTCCAGAGTCTAAAGTCTGGCACCTATAAGCTCGAAATTGAAGTGCACTAACTTTCACACACTGATGTCTTTAATGTGTATGGGCTTACTTTGACCATAAGACATCTTACTGCCAAATCCATCAAATAGGGACTATATTATTTCCTTAGCTTATAAGATTCTGAGTGTAAAGTAATAAAGACTGTAAAGTCTTCATACACTGCTCCAAAGAGGAGCTTAAGTAAATAAAACAGAATGAAGATTAAGATATGAGATTTATTTAGAATAAATTGCTTGCTGGTTTAGTATTTTCATTTCAAAAGGCAGGTAGGTTGTGTTGCTTTAAAACTGTGTTGGACTGAACAATAATGCCTAATTATTATATACTTTTTCACAGGCTGATTGATCACTATACTAAGAATTCTATTTTACAATAATTTAAATAAGAGAAAAAACAAAATCTTCTGCAGGGTCAGGCCTAAATATAATAAATAAAAGCATTGCATGTTCTCCTACAAAAGATAAATAGCTTTCTTGCTTAGGTGCACAATTCATCACTCACTGCAATGGCACCTACTACCCTGCAAATATCAGTGATGCTCTTTTTCATAATCTTTGCAAGATTAGGTTAGACTATAATTTTCACATAAGAAAGTAAACAAAGAGAGACTAATACTAATTCTGGGTGCCATTCTGGACACCTCTCAATGTCAAGTATACTTAACAGTTTTGATCCACATACTTAAAGCACTGTTCCAATTATATCTTACTGCAGTGGTGAACACTTTATACAGCTTTGAGTCTGGCCACAAGTGCCATAGTTTGGGCATTAAGAAAATCAGTAACACATTATTAATGACTAAATGAGACTGTGTCAGTTTATGTGATTTACTTGGCATCCCGTAGCAACTCAGGTGGCAGTGGCAGAGAGGGAATTCAAAGCAGGCATTCAGCCTCACTGCCACCTTACAACCTGCACCATGCACCCTCCGTATTTGGGAATTAATAAGGTAGGGACTCTTCAGACAACACGCATATTCACAGCATACTGGTGGTATTCTGATGCAGCATAGTTCCCTGTGTGCCTCAATGACAAAAATATCAGAAAAATATTATGAGGAATCATTTTCATAATGACACTGTCACAAAACCTAAGAATATAACTAAGTTCACACAATTAACCTAAATTCTGGAGGTTTTTCTTAGTTCCTTTATACCTACATTTGCAACCACTACCAATTTCTCAACAGAAGTTCTGATTACTAAGAAAAAGAAATACAGGTTCTTTTGTTTCTCTCTCAAATGGAACCAGGCTGACCATCTCCTTCCGACCACAAATTTGAGCAAGTAGGTTTGTACCTTCAGCCCTACAACCCAGACCTCCCTGTTATAAGATACAGCTGTTAACAACTCTAGAAGTTACTAGAGATCCCAAATGAAATCGCTGCAATGTATATTTTCTCATTCTTTCCTGAAGTGGGCAAAAATATGAGCTGTTTCCTCTTGTTTGCCTTCCAGAAGCCCTCAAGCAGTTTCACAAGAACTTTAAATAAAGACAATACTCAACCACACTCAGATAATATCTCAAAAAAAATCATCCTGAAAGATTACTTCAAAAATATTAGCAACCTAATTCAAGTTCTTGGAATTATTTTGGCACCATTATCAGAAAAAATACTAAAACATTCCTGAAATTTGTATGCTAAATTCCACGTATTTTATAAGTGATCAATAGCCTACTTCTCTATAGTTAGTCAAAAGTATTTGCTGTATAAAACAGTGTACTTTTACAAACAATTTGTACATTTTGCCACATTTTCTGTAGTCTTTTTTAATATTTCAGCATTTGTTACATAAGTCAAAGAAATTTTAAAAATATTTGTAACACTAGGTTGCCAGAAGAGATGAACGTGATTGTAAAATGAAAACTGTTTCCTGAAGTGAGGGACAGTAGCAATATATGCTAAGAAATGTGCAACATATGTAAAACCTAACTGAAGTCATGTTAATAACTACAGTGCATGAGAAAAACCTTCCTGTCTACAGCAGGTAAAAATTATCCATCAAAAAGAAAGTTAGCACTTAAAAAGAAAAGTGCTTTCCTTGTCTTATTACTTCAGAATGCTTCAAAAAAAATATGAATTAGTAACTATATACAAGATATAATGGGTAAAATTCTGACAAGTACAATTGTAGATAGCAACAAACATCTTTATTTCCGGAGAATCATCATGGCTAGGCTTCGCGAACGAAGATTTGGGAAGGCTCTATCCACATTTGCTGCAGGCACGCTGGTGGCTTATGAGGCCAATACGTGACAGACAAATCCGATTGCAAAAGGCACAGCAGAAAGACTCCTTAGATGGTGTATTCTGCAAGACACGGTTCTTTCTGCGTTGCCTTTTTTCCTCGAGGGTGATCCTGCGTGTGTTCTCAAAGGAGACAGCTGCGTTATAGATGGTGTGTCTCCAGGCCTCCCGATTTGAGGCCAGAGTAGACCAGTGATGGTGATCAATATGGCCAAGGCTGAGATGTTGTTTCAGGGAGTCCTTGTATCTTTTCTTCGGGGCTCCTCTCAT